CCCCCCCTCTCTCATTTCCCCTCCGCTTAGCAGTCTATGATGTAATATCTAGGAGACTTAACCATTAGATACCTTTTCATGTATTTTCCTTTTGATAAAAATGTTGATATTTTATATTTTCTTTACAAATAGATTTAATGTATACATATATACTAAGCACCAAGGTACTAAAGCAAGGAAAGTTATTTCAGAGGTGTACGCATTTTTTGTACTGCAGTGTACTGTCTTTGGGAGGAAAAGTAAACACAAGACGGATGTCAAAGCCTGACATGGAATCCATTTTCACAAAATAATCTATGAAATATTCTGGTCTTAGGAAACTATTATGTAAATTTTCAAAATTATCAAAATTAAATGTTGGTATCCTCCTCGGATACTAGACGAACACTGATGCATCTGTTCTTGTTTACAAATTCCGCCCGAAGAGAACTGGTTTCGCAGAGTATACGCGAACGCAACCAACTTTCCTTGCATTAGTACTTGCTAAGCACTATGTAGGCAGGAATTCTCCAGGGGGCCCGGCCCTCCCCCCTGTAAATGACTGATACTAGATATATATATATATATATATATATATAACACTTGGTGACCCATACAGGATGAGACTACAAACTTTTTTTCATTCATTGATGAGACAAAATTAATGGCAAAATATAAAAAACAAACCTTTAGATCGTTGGATTAATAAATTCTTAGGGCTTCATTAATGTCTCATATATTCCCCTTCTAGATACGTATTCAATATTCATTTATTTAAACATCAATCAATTAATCAATGTTATTTGATCTGAAATCCTTCCCAGTTTGGGAGATCAAGATCGCCTCAAGGTCCGCATATATAGTTGGTGATTTTTAATTATGTTTCCACTTATCCACCTAAATCTTACCCTATCCGATCTCATCTAATTTTGTAATGTATCTGCATACGCTTAATATATAAATTCATCTATCAGTCCTGATGTCTTTTATGCTGTATATTTATTTACATAAATCTATTGTCCATCAATCTATATTCCAGTGCTAAGGATCCGTTAATTTATATGCGGATCCGGATCCAGGTCAAGAACATTTCTTTAAGATTTACTGTATTTCTTTATAAACCATAAACGATAAACCATTAAGAGATCCTGACATTTTTATTATCTCTCTCTTTTTTCAACAGTTTAGATTTGGATTTTGAGTGTAAAATTTTGTTTTCTTCAGTTTTTCGTTGATATTTAGCCTTTATCAACGAAAAACTGAAAGCCAAAATCTTGCCGATCCAACAGATCCGGATCCTAAGCACTGCTTAATTCTCAAAATAAAAGACTTTCTTAAAAAATCTTAAACACAACAATTCTTGATAGTTTTCCATTTCTATATTTTCGATTGTTTGTTTATTTTTTTCACGACTTTTCGTGTTTAACATGCTAATATTATAGTCGAAAAGAAAAAAAGTTTTTTTTAATACAGGGTGTTTATTTTCCTCAGAAGCTTGGGGGAAATAAACTAATTTAAAGGGGTAAAACGTATGAAAAAGGATTAAAAAACATGCCTTTTCATGTTCAATTTCCCCCCTTCCCCCCCCTAGCTCCAAAAATCATCTCCCCGAGAGGGGGGGGTAATTCTTAAAAATATACACTCCTGAAGTTTAATCTATTTTAAGTTAATTTTTTCCCGTAAAAAATGGTCTATTTCTCCGATCTAAAATTGTAAATGGTTTAACCAGTATTCTGAAACTTTGCCTAGTTTCATGATGGAAACTGAATAAAACCTTTAATTGTATTTGGACATTTAGGCAAACCTTTCAGGGGGTATATTAATCCCATTTAGTCGGTCCTTTGATTGACAGCTTGAGGCAGCAAT